ACCCTGCTAATACAAGCTCCTGGCGGATTACCATGACATACCCTGACGTGGTCAAGATTGCCGACCCTGATGCGTACAACGAGCACAGAGAGGCCTGGACACAAAAAGAGTGGCCCGAGAGCAAAGAGGCCTATGAATTGGTTCGCAAGAATCTTTTGCGCGAGGCACATGAGAACAAGACGATGATATGGCCGCTGCATCTGCCGTATAACAGCTACGCCACGAGATACAAGGTCGTGGATCCAACTATCTGGAAGAAGCGCCTCTCAGAAAAGACGGCAGAGATATTGAACGACAACAATCTCGATGACGAAACCAAGAAATCTCGTGTCCAGGCTCTCAAAGTCCAGCTCCAGAAAGAAGAAGTCGAAGAAGAAAAGAAACAAGCCGCCCTCGCAGCTCAAAAGCAGAAAACCACTATGCGCCGCGAGCCAGTCTGGACATTTGGTCATCCCTCGAGAAAGAAGCCTGTGCATATGTTTTGGGACATTAATAACTGGCCGGTGCACTGGCAGTCTGAGAGCAGACAAAGAGTCATTAGGTCCAGGGGGCCAGCGAAACGAAAGGCCTCAGAGGATGAGGTTCAGGCTGCTGATGTTGGGGAAGATGTGGCTGCTTTCGCGGAGGAGTTGGAAGAAGCTGCCGAGATGCCGTTTTGGAAAAGGGCGGAGCAGAGACGCAAGTTTGTGCCAGGGAGAGAAGAGTTTTGGATGGGAGACACGCCGTTGCAACGGAGGGAGTTTGAAACCAGGATGAAGAAGAGTAAGTTTCATCCCAAACCAAGAACCAAGAATAAGAAATCAAGAGCAATATGAACTGACACTTTTAAAACTCACAGGACTCGCGCCGCCGTCGAGAAAGCGCACCTGGGGAGGTTTTCTCAAAGAGGCCTTGTTTGGCACTCCTACCATCGTTGATGGGCGTGTTGCTGCTTCTGCTGAAGAATTCGGATTGCCAGATGTGCCCCGACATTTGATTCCTCGGAGTCGACCGGCTAAAAGACGACGTATCGTGGGACCGCAACGAGAGGTGGGAGAAGAACAAGAACGTGATTTGTTCGCAATAGCGAGAGGCGAGAAGAAAACCCGTAGAGAGCCCAATATCTTTACGATGGAGTCCCAGAGTTCGTCCCTGGAAGCAGGTCAGATTACGTTTTATATCCCCGAGACGCGGATACAGGGCGAAGGACGCTTGGGAGATGTGATGGAGGTTGATGAGCCGATGGTTGAGTATCTAAAACCGGCAAAGCGGCGGTGATTGCTGCTGTAGATGGAATGTACTATAAATCGTTTGAGAATATTCGGAGTAATAGAGAATCTGATTGGCTGTGGTTTAACAATTTCAGATTAGAAAATTAGCAAGGCTGCGATTAAAGTCAATAAAAATGCGAAAAAACTTCACACCAGTCACCAGAGGCACGTTGTTAGGCGCAATATTGAAAGAAAGCAACGCCAGTTGAAAATTTTTATTTTCTCATTCCGGATCATGGCCATTTTATATCCTCATGACGCTCATGTCCGAAAGTCCTAACCGGCCAAACCATGCAATGAAACACAAGTTGTATCGTGACTCCGCGCACCGTTTCCAGTCCTCACCACTGCACAACCCCCATTCTCTAGTATCGCTTGCCGTCCCTCAGGGTATCGGAGAACTCCTCCAGAGGAGATCGGATCAGCTTCGTCTCCTTCCACAGGTTGGGGGTCAGGAAGCCGTAGGTGTTGGAGACGGCGGAGAAGGTGGCCTTGAGGGTGTTCTCGAGGGTCTTGGTGGAACCGGCGGATGAGGAGTAGGCATCCTCAACACCGGCGAGCTGGAGGAATCGCTTGACAGCGGGGGAGGCGACGATACCGGTACCACGGGGGGCAGGGATCAGCTGTTGGAGAAATTATGTCAATGAACCATTCCTACCAAATTCTCTTTCAAACACAACCGATGGACTGGGTGAAGCTTACTCGGACAGTGACGGAACCGCACTTGCCGGACTCCTTGCAGGGCAGGGAGTGAGGCAGACCGAGGTTGGAGCCCCAGTATCCTCTTCGGACGGGGATGACGCTCAGCTTGGCGATGATGATGGCGGCACGGATAGCAGTGGCGACTTCCTTGGAGGTCTTGATTCCGAGACCGACGTGGCCCTCGGAGTCACCAATGATGACGATGGCCTTGAATCGGGTGCGCTGACCGGCACGGGTCTGCTTCTGGACGGGCTTGATCTGTAATTCGTGAAAAAGCAATCTAGTTAGCGCAACTGTCCATTTTTGAAGCGCTCTCGCTCAAAATTCCGCTATACGCTTCCATCCCATCCTCTGAGAGGAGCCTTCGCAAGAATTGAACCCTAAAAAGGGGGCCGAAAAGGAGGCAATCCGCACCTTCATGACCTCATCCTTCAGCTTGGGGAGGAACTGGTCGACAATCTGGTACTCCTTGATGGGCAGAGAGTGCAGGTAGATCTCCTCCATGCTGTTGATCTTGCCAGCCTTGACGAGACGGCCCAGCTTGGTGACGGGCTGCCACTCCTTCTCCTCAGACTTGCCGCCACGGCGACCACGGCCACGGCCACGACCACGGCCACCACGATCACCACCACGGGCACCGCCCCGAGAAGCAAAACCACCGCCACGAGCTCCGCCGCGATCAGCCATTGTGAAGTTCTGGAGTTGTTGTTTTGTTGGGCGAGGGACTTGGAGTCGGGATTTGACGATGCGCAGGATCGGCCCTGATGTTGTATTTGCTCGAGTTGTGGCCCTCGTACTGGGGGAACTTTTTCGCTGGCGGGGTCTAGTACAGCTTGGGAATTTTTACGGGTGTGGTCTGGGTTAGGCGAGCCCTAACAAAGACCTGTGGGTCGCTGCCTCAATTGTTAGGCGAAAAACATGTGGGTCGGTGTGGCTGTCACCGAGATGCTGAATAAGGCTCACCTCGGTGAGTCAGCACCGAAACTGTATCTTTTCGTGTCTTCTGGGCCTCGGTGGGATCGAGAAGGATTGAAAATGGGAAAACAAAGCTTGACCGATGGATTCCAACATCACTAGACGCAAGGGAAAGAAAGGGCAAAAGTGGAAACTTGCTAATTCTGTTGACACAATTTTGTTTCGGCCGCGCAACGTACACTGAGTTTCACCAGATAGAGATAGGTTGGCATGAAAAGCTGAGATGGCTGAGACCACGATATCGCACAAAGCAGAGAACAAACACGAGCTGGAGAGACTCCGTAATTCAATATTCGTACACGGCCTGAGGGGCGTAGTAATCATAAAAAAAGAAAAGGGAGGGTATCGTGGCTCAAATAAATCGACAGCAAGCTGTACAAATGTCTCCCTACTCCGACTTGACGATCAAATTCTCCGATGGCTGAACTCGCTGAGCCCATTCCCTGTTTTTCTGTTAGTTGATAATCATATATATGCTGGAAGAACACGAGGCTACTTACGTCCAACTACCATCATAAACCCTTCTGGCGTTGGGGTACCCTGCTGCTTCCAGAGCAGTATCGATGGCACAAGCTGTAACGCCAGTTCCGCAAGTTGAGATGATGGGCTTGCTGGGGTCAATTCCCTTCTCCTCAAACAGCTGTTTCAGCTTATCTGCGGGGAGGAAAGCCTTTGTTTCTGGATCAAGGAGGGCGCTGAATGGAACGCTGATTGATCCTGGCATGTGGCCAGAGGAGAGACCTTCGCGAGGCTCTGGGTCCTTGCCCGTAAACCGACCATTGGGTCTCGCGTCCAAGATCTGGATCCCTTCTGCTCCCTCCTTGTTGGAGTCCAAGACCACCTCTCTGACCTCCTCGAAGCTAGCAACTCTCTCCGATGCAAGCTCGGGGATAGGATACGGGTTGCACTCGACGTTGTATAGCTCTCCGGACTCGGTGGGCAGCCCCTCAGCAACCCACTGCTTGAAGTTGTTCAAGATGTGTACCTTGGGGTGGCCAAACGCCCTGAATGTCCATGCCACGCGAGGAGCACTAAAGATTCCGAGCTCCTTTGTATCGTAGACGACAACAACATCCTCTCGTCGGATACCCAATTCGCTCATAGCAGCTGCGAAACCTTTGGCATCCGGCAGCATGTGGGGGTATGGGCTGCGCTTGTCGATGGCCTTGTCTAGGTCAAAGAAGCGAGCCTTTGGGATACGCTGCTCGCGGAAGACCTGGATGCCGGTTCTCTCATCGTTGGGAAGGAACCAGGCGGCGCACAGGGGAATCACTCGGGGATCGGGACTGATCGGAGACGGAGGGTTCTTCTTCAGGGCCTCGTGAAGCTCTTTGGGAGTGACCAGGTAGGACGAGAGACTGCGCCTGGTCGACATGCTGGTCTGCAGAAAACGGTTGCCCAGTCTGGGAAGGCCAATCCGAGCAGATTGGCCAGCAACAACAGAGGCCATCGAGGATGATGTGTGTTGCGATTTAGCGCTTTTGGCCGCGTGAGACGATCAGCTGTTGTCGCCTGTGGTCGTTCGGTCGATCTGGATAGTTGTGCTTCAGAGCTGCGCCGATGGTCAAGCTTGCTTTATGCACGCCTCGTCCAGCTAATCTCGATGGCCCGACCTCAAGCGACTGGCAGCGCAGCCATTGAATAGATGTTTTTTGGTGGAGATGAGGTTTGGATTGGATTTGATCATGGGCCCAGAGAGTTGCGAAAGGTTGATTTTGGCGCTTAGTGGGGGAGGAGCTTGGACCATGCATGACATTTGCGATAAGCTGTTGCTGCATGCACGACAACGGGCGGTTCAACGGCCCCGAATTTCCCCTCGCTGTCGCTGGCATCATCATGCACTCACGCGCCAATTTCAATCCATTGGTGGCGTTTTGTCCGCTATAGTCTGACGATTGGTTATTGCTAATTGCATAGCTTTTTTATATGCTGATCCATCACTTGACTACCTCACTGTACTGAGATACATCGTACTCATCGACGCAGATCAATAGCGCCATGGCTCTGAGTCGGGCGCTGTACGCCCTGCCCATTGTGCTGCCACTGGCTGTCATGGTGCGAGTTCTAGCAACCATGACAGTTGTGCCTGGGCCCTTCATCGACGATGCTCACCTTCGAGGACTATATACCCTTCAGAATGGAACTAGTATTCCCATCCTGAAGGGTTTATACGGAGTTCCAGGTCTTGACGATGCAATTACTCAAGTTGCAATTACTTTTTGCCAGCTAGTCTTCAACGACGACCAAAGAATGTGGTGGCAATGTGTCGTTTTCCTCACTGACTATGCTGGCCTCACTGCCTTGTGGATGCTCGAGTCTTTAAGAACCGCCAACAGGGGGACTTTCTTCCAGACGTGAGGACGAGCTTGACCCAATGTTCATCCATGCTCTTGCTGACATGTATGTGTCCTGAACAGATTCGCCGTGCCCCTGTTTCTCGCCCAATTCGTGACCGTGGGAAACATTGCACCTTTATACTTTTACTTTTTCTACGTCTTCTCTCCGTTGAAGAAGTACTCTACCGCTAGTGCCCGACTAATTGACGGAGCGGGTGTGCTTGCTATTCTCCCAACGCTGCTCGTGGTGTACTATATTCCACATCTCATCTCCCTCTTTCACCCTGATTTTGAAACTAGACACTTGGCGAATTGGATATGGCAACTTTACCCGCTATGGGCCTCAATACTCCTTTTTACACTATCAAGTGTGATAAGGCCGTTTCTCAGTGACAACGCCGAAGTTGTCCAGCGCCGTAATAAGACGGGCATTCGCGTCATTGGAGGAGTCATGATAACGCTTAGCACTATTTCGTACTGGTACATGCTCTTCTTTTCGCCTCTGTCTGTATCGGAGGCATTGATACCAAAATATTTCACCGAGCTTCCCAAAGACACGCCAACGTCGCTCACTAGCATCTTCCAGTACGACTTCATCACCTCTTTTACGTCAATCCTGCTTTGGTTGGCATACCATTTGGGAGATCTGAAGAGTGCTGGAATTTGTCAACTATCTTGGCCTCGAATCTTGCTCTCTTCTGTTGTCATTGGCTGCCTTGGTGGCCCGGGAGTGTTGGTTTGGGTTGGGTGGCTTACAAGAGAAGAATTGATGGCATCAACGGAACATTCCAAGACCAACTAGAATGTTGTGCATTTAAATAGATAAAAGTTTATCACAATCAATTAAATGAATATGATGCTTTTTAAGGGATAATATGTGCCAACTCAAGTACTGAGCCTCGAGTTTTGCGAGTTCTGAGCTTAGTCATGAGACTGTTACCCTAGAGCCAGCAAGGTACATACAAGTCTCTCCCAGGCAACGCAAACTCCATCACCTCTCAACAACACAACAGCTCCTGTGCATCACGACTTATCCATGCTGTGAGAAATTCCCCCCCCCTTTATAAAGGGGCGTCTAAATCTTTCACGATGAAAGTCACCATCAAAGAGTGGAATTCCGTCGCCACATGGCAGTGGGATATCCCCGAAGACGACGTCTGCGGTATCTGTCAGGTGCACTTTGACGGGACGTGTCCTACGTGCAAGTATCCCGGCGACGACTGTAGCCTTTGTGAGTATACCCCTTTCGATCTCACGAAGTGTAGTTGCTATGAAATGACGCGCTAACTGCTCTTGATAGTATCTGGAAAATGCGGCCATAGTTTTCACATGGTTGGTGGTTTTTCTGCTTGTGCTTGAAGAGGTTTGGTGGCACTGACGTGAATGTAGCACTGCATCATGGAATGGATTAAGCAGGAGTCGGCAAAGGGACAATGCCCTATGTGTCGACAGCGTACGTATCTTTCTTCTTGTTTTGAATGCTGGTGAGAGTATTTGCATCAGAGTGCTAACTGATTGCTTAGCTTTTGAGTGGCAAGATCAAGCTAATGAGACGGATGGACCCAATGAGACTCCTATACCAACAGATTGAAGCAAAGATAAGGAAAATATAATACAATGGCCACGGGTTGGAGCTGCGCACACAACTAATTATACCAACAATAATCTCATCATTATTTTCTGTCATGCCTTCATGCTCATACATACATAAATACAATGCGTGCTATCCAGGAAGCTTCACAACTGGCCTAGGCGACCTCTGAATTATATGTTCATTGTGAGAAAACAGCTGTCCCGTACACTCCTAAGCTTCCGGGACATAGACCCCATCCTTGCAAAGCACTACCACCTTTTTGAAGAATCGCCGCCACTCGAGGGGATCTCCCTTGATCTTGACGAACCGAATGTCTAGTACCTCGAAGCCATCTGCAAGCGGCTGTTTGTCCACGCAGATTTCTCCGTGTAGGCTCTGCCGGCGTCCGTCGACAGCACGAACTTTGAGGGTAACTACGGGGCTGCCATATGGATTCGGCGTAACAGGTGCCAGAGGAACGTTCAGCTGATGCAGCGCGTCGCTGAGCATCTGTACAATATGTGAGGCAGGCACGTGCGAGAAGAAGCGAGTGAGGGATTCGGGAGGACAAATGTCACGGAACCGCTGAGCCTGTTGTGTGAGCGACATGGATGGTCCGGGGACTTGGGAGAATTGCGACATGGACGGCTCATCCGCAAGGGAGTCGAACAGCATACGGCGAGCGCTGGAAGTCCCCGTGGGCATAGAAGATGGTTGGGCCCTAGAGCGGAGGACAGGAGCCTCCCAATCCCAATCTTTGTCGGCGATAGGGGTTACTAGAGCTTCCGGCTGCGTGGACGAGAACCGACCGGCATTTAGTCCAGAGTCCACAGTGGGATCGTGGGATGCCGGGAGGTAGTTGAGCGGAGGTATCTGGTTGAGGTCGATACGCAAGTTTTCTAGCATCTTAGTCGCCAAGACAATGGGGTCGGAAATCCTTCCATCGGCAGTGAGCAAGGGGTTATGGCGCGTGTACCAAGGATGCTGCCGTATCTGAGCAAAGGTGAAGCGTTTCTGTGGATCAATGGACATCATGCCCCTGAGGAGGGAGAGGGCCTCTGGAGGTATTCTTCCCCAAAGCGGGTCTGAGCTCTTCCCTGACGTCTTCACGTACTCGCCAAACTCCCAACTTGTTGACGATGGCTCATCCCATGGTGTGTTGCCGACGAGCAAAACAAATAGGATGACTCCACACGACCATATATCGACGAGATCTGGTGAATACTTGGCGGTATTCGGAGCCCTCTTATCTACCCTCCCACAGGCGAGAATCTCGGGAGCGATATATGGCGGGCTGCCACAGAGTGTTGAGCTGGTCTTGCGCTGGCCCTTGTACTCAAACATGGTGGCCATTCCGAAATCAGCCAGTTTTAGGCTTCCATCTTGTGACAGGAGGATGTTCTCCGGCTTTAGATCCCGATGTGCCACGCCCTTGGAGTGCATGAAGCTCACACCGCCAACCAGCTGAAGGAAGTAAATTTGTGCAATGTCCTCCCGGACGCCGACATCTGCCTCGATCTTGTCGAAAAGATCACCGCCCTCTGCATATTCCATGGCTATCCATCGCCATATCGAGTCTTCCCCCGAGGCAAACCACTCGATGACGTTGGGATGCTGGCCTATGTGAGAATGAAGGGAGACCTCCATGGCAAGCTGCTTTGCGGAGATGCGGCCATGCTTAGTGGCGTATCCCTTGTGTATGAGCTTGACAGCGAATACTGGACTTGAAGAGTCTAATGGAATGGCTTTTTTTATTCTGATTTAATTTGAAAAAGTAGTGTTAATATTGATTTTAATGTTCACGTAAATGAGAGAGATCTGGGAGGTGAGGGATGAAGAGAGCGCGCATACGAAGCATAGGCACCACGGCCAACAGTTTTTGATATGATTCGAAAGGGCAGCTCCTTTGGTAATGGATCGAGTTGCGACTACAAGGGAGTCAGCCAGATTCACATGAGTTTGAGTGACTGAGGGTTCGGATTTCGCAAGGGCGCTGGACCGAAGCTTTGTGAGACGTGCACGGATGAAGAGTCACTCACCATGATGTCTATTAGTGAAACTTGTTTCGAGGCTGAAGCTCTTTTTTCCGACCAAACATATACAACAAAAGAAAAAAAATGACAAAGAAAAATTGAAGAATAAAGGGGATGGGATAAACAAGGCCAATTCAAGCGTTATTCGGTAACAATTGCTGAAGCACTATAAGGCGGTAGTTTCTTTTGGATTGTTAACGATCGCGTGTCCCGTCGCGCTCAACCGTGTAAAGAGGTCAGACTTTCATTGTTTCGTGAACTTTATCAAACGATTGGTTATCAGCTCCATCTTAGCGGGCGTTGCTGCGGCAAACAGGGCCCACCGACCTTACAGCGGTCGTCGTTCACTGAACAAGCCCTTGGACGCCTGTAAGATTAGGCTTCTGGCTAGGCGGTTGTTTTTTCAGGCTGACCGGCAACAAGCGTGTCTTAAACAACAACCTAATGTTTTTTCCCTCTTCTCAGTCGATCTTGACCTTTTCCCATCCATTCTTTGTCTATAGACCCTCATCCCTGTTTCGTGGCCTCGACCCTGCTTGCCGTGTATTAGTTTTTTTCATCTTCAGGCAACTTTTCCCTAAGGACGTTTTAAATCAACCACCGCCATCCTACCTTATTGGGTAACAATCAGCACTTCATCCCGCAGTCTTTTGGGAGTACTTCTGAAGACGTCCCATTATTGCCCAACGCGGAACGCTACCGCTTGTTTGCATATCCTCCCCTTTCTTGACTTTCGACCTTTTTTTCTTCTCCGGCATTCTGTTGCAAGAGGCTTTCTGTTCGACTCGTGTACTTGGACCATCTGTTATCACTTTCGAGGACCACTCATTCATTCATCTCCGCAATATAAACTGGTTTTTGTTTACAATGGATTATACCGAGGATAACCAGAACTCTGCTCCTGGCAGCGTCCAGGCGTCCAAGCTCAATGCCGCTCGCAAGGGTCCCGATTCGCAGAGCGTCACTAAACGGTATTCATCCTTTGGGGCAATGATGTCAGCCTCGTCTAGGCGCTAACATATTCTCAATAGGCTTCAGACCGAGCTGATGACTCTCATGACATCGCCAGCACCCGGTATCTCCGCATTCCCCTCTGCCGACGGCAACCTTATGTCGTGGACCGCCACCATCGAGGGCCCCGACGATACACCTTATTCCGGACTCACGTTCAAGCTGAGCTTCGCGTTTCCTTCAAACTATCCTTATGCCGCGCCAACGGTCCTCTTCAAGACGCCCATCTACCATCCCAACGTCGATTTCTCTGGCCGCATCTGCCTTGACATTCTCAAGGACAAGTGGACTGCCGCATACAACATTCAGACCGTTCTGCTGAGTCTGCAGAGCTTACTCGGCGAGCCCAACAAGTACGTTGATCCGTCGACATGACGCAAAGGAAGGCGACGCTAACTGATATTTCCACAGCGCATCCCCATTAAACGGCGAGGCAGCAGAGTTGTGGGACAAGGATATGGAAGAGTTCAAGAGGAAGGTTTTGGGACGACATCGCGACATTGAGGAGGAGTAATGGGATTCATAGCGTGCAGATTTTTATGATTTTACGTTTACGGGTATTTGGAGTCTTTGGGGCACGATTCGGTCGTTTTGAAAGGGTATTTGGGTGTATTTTGCATTTCCACAGCCAGAGCTGGGAAAGGAGGGCTACCTGCCCCTTCCACAAGCGCATGACCGGTTACAACATATAATAGAACCTGTCGAAACAAATCATGACCAATCACCGCCTCACCAGGCTGTTTTCCCTGTCACTCTCCCTTCTGAAGCAGTCAGGGACCCTCTACCGCCGGCCATTATCGCAGGGGCGAGGTTTGTTGTGGAATAAAAAAAAAAAACCTTTGTTGATCACATTGCCGTCTTTTATTTTCAGCGTGAAAAGCTAGAAGAGCCGGTTGCAACTCCGTAATGCCATGCCACCCCAGAACCATTCCCAAAGAGAAACAAATTTTCTTTACTCCTCAACGACCTCAGTCGCAAGGCCCTTGGGGTTCTTGACGTTGACAGCCTGAACGTAGCTGTACAGCTTCTCCTTGGCACCCTCCTCATCGTTTCGTCGTCGGGAGATTCGGACTCGGATTCTGTAAGCAACACCCTTGACACCCTGCTCCCAGACCTTCTTGTTGAGCTGGGGGTCGATCCGGACGTCAGTGGTACCCTGTTGTGGAAAGAGAGTTAGCAAAATGCTATTTTGTTCGGTCCATCGGCGAGGACGTTTGCGAGTCCGTTCCACGGCCAGTCAAACTGCGCCTCGTAGGGTCTTTGCTGTTGGGGATTGGATTCGTACCATGGCCTTGGTGGCGAAGGACTTGATCTCCTTGATGGCACGGGGAGCCCTCTTCTTGAAAGTGACACCATGCAGCTTTACACGCAAACCGTTAGCATCCTTGTTCCCAAAATCTCTAACTTTTCTCCTTCTTTTCCCAACAATTCGTCCAGGTATTCGATACGACGTACTCTCTTGTGCATGTGGATGGTGTACTCGCGGGCAACCACGTCCGCAATGGCGGAGCGCTGGGTAGGCTTCTTTGACGACATTTCTGAATTGATTGACGGTCAGCTTTCGGGTCGGATTGAAGGCGGCGTGGCGGCAAGTGTTGAAGATTCTCTTGCGACCAAAGTTTGGCAGAGATTCCGTGGGTTGAGAGGGAGAGAGGTTTTGGTGCGCTTCGTACCTGCGGATCGACTCTTCACGGTCTGGACGTTGAGAGAGGTGGTTGAGGTCGGAAATGCGAAATTCCACAAAATCTTTGTGCGTAGGGCAGGCACGAAATTCAACTGGTGGGGGTAGCGAGCCAATCATGCAGTGGGCGGTTTGGCCCCACCGAAATCCACGTGACGTTCCAAACTCGCATCTACCGTCTTCTCCTGAGGCATCGATTTTGACGCCAGCTGCGCCCCAAGTGGGAAATGAAACCAGCGCCAGACTAATGACCCGTTTCTCCATACGCCTCGAAGCCATCGCATCGCAGCCGC